TTTCTTATGTGTCTGAAAAAGTGATCGTGAAAGTCCAACTACAGGGGAACCTCCGGTCATGGAGCGTTTTTGAGCGGTTTCGAAAAAAGTGAACTATTTCTGGTTTCTTAATATTGTGCTGTCCCGGAGCCTCATCAGCACCTAAATATTGTATAACACAGAGAGGCACCAAAATTTTATTTCAAAAGAATTCCAAAAGTTCAGAAAGTTCAAAAATTCCAAAAACTCAAAAGTTCCAAAAAGCAAAAAGCATTTGAAAAAGAATCCCTTTGAAATCTTCCGCGATATTTCGGTGTTTAACACCTTCTTCAGGCCTTATTTCTGGTTTGTTCTAGTAGTTCTAGGCCGAGGAAAGTGCCCCTTGGTTTTCTGGTAAAATTGCAAAGTTTTTTATTTTCGTATGTTTGGGCGGCACCTTCAAAACTGCGAGGAAAAGGAAATTGTGTAATTTCTCGAAACCTCGTTTTTTCGGTGGTAATATTTCTGGCAGAATGTACTATATTCATGAAGAGAGAAGAACTGAATGTGATAGATCGTGTTGTCACAAAAATTCCACCCTTTTTCGATCTTTTTCGATTTCGATTTCGATCTATCCTAAGTCCTAATGAAGACATCATCTTCCCGAATTTCGTCTACCTTAGCAGTTTATGGGTCTGATCGTGGGCAGGTTGTCACTCTGGAAATAGCCATTTATGTGGGAAGGTAGGACTCTTATAGCGTCGTTTGACACAACTAGATTTGAAATTTTGCCTGTATATTCGCAAAAAAGTAGTGTGAGGGTGATTAACACATTGCGGACCGCCGTTATATGAGGATATCCGTACCTTTTTCTATCTTTTAGAAAATACATCATCATTAATCTATCAACAATTTTATCAGTGATGATACGTATGGTTTCCTGGCTCTGAAAATGAGTGCAACACTTCAGGAGCATTGAAAAATGTCAAATAAATCAGATTAAACTATGATGTTTCGTGCGAAATCGTGCGCCACCATGTGGCGCACGCGGTACGCAATGTGTTAAATGCCCTGGTAACAAATTTACCCTCAGCGCTCATAAGCAAAGTCGTATTCGTAATCAGAAAACAGAACAACCCACGTTTATTTATTTGTTCATTTACTACACTCACAATGAGTGTGTCAACAGAATAAATGTGTAGATTCTTTTTGGGTCTTATAAGTAGGCTTTTAATAATTTGGTGCAAAAAAAGCTGTAGCGCTAAACTATCGCCAGTAGGCGTCTTCACCGAACTGCCATGTCTGTCGTCGAGACAACAAGTAGCCCTTGTAGATAAATCTCCAGCAAAATTGTTTTTTTTACGGTCGGAGTTGTAGTAGTTGAATAGTGCATCAGTTTTGTGAAGGTACGATCTATGACCTTGATTTTTGTGATTTTTCAGAATGCGTTATCCATTTTTTGACCAACAAACGGGTACAGCTCATCGCTTCAATCCGGTGTTTTATCGCTCCCCGTCTCAACGTGCTACATCTACTGATCCGAATATTGTTGTGCAATACACGACCCAACGATGGCGTCGTAGACAGTCTGCCAATTCATCGGATGCTATCGAAATGAAGATGTTCCTTCGAGATAATCCAGCGCTTGATGCTGCTCTCAATACGACAACGTCAACAACTCAATCCGGTGAGTTCACAAATGATACTTTCTTACTTTTCTGTAAGTGTCGAACTTTATAGCGCGTTTATTTGCGAATTTTTCACAAGAATGCTGGGTTGTGAACAAAACTTTCGCCCCAGGCGGGACTAGAACCCGCACCTCTCGCTTTCCGGGCAAGTGCGCTACCAGTTACGCTACCGGGTCCCGCCTGGGGCGAAAGTTTTGTTCACAACCCAGCATTCTTGTGAAACATTCGCAAGGCGAACTGCGGCCAAAACAGCAGTTAACAAACAAAACAGGCAATTTTTTTTTTTTCGCAAAGGTTGACCATACCCTACCCTACCAAACTCGTTCCGGTGGTGGTTTATCATTTGATGTAGTAGTCCTCACAAGCGTTAGTGAAGGTTCTTATTCAGGAACACTTTATGATACGATGGTCATTCAGCACCCCAGGGTCATTGTTAGGCTTAGTTCTGAGAATTTCCTAGTCGAGGATCACCACGAGTTAACTATTGCGCTTGAAATTGGTGGATAGGAGAGTGGGATTCGGATGAAAAAGCGCGATAAGGGCGCTAAGGGCTTACCAATGCTCCGACTAGTGGCCATGACTGGTAGTTGCTTTTAGGCGGTTGCAACTGCGCTTCCCTGTGCCCTCTCGTAAGG